TCAATATTGGCCATATCAAAATAGAAAATTTAAATCGACATGATCAATATTGACCATATCAAAATAGAAGATTTAAATGGACTTGTTAATTATCAATATTAGCCATATCAAAATAGAAGATTTAAATGGAAATTATCAATATTCGCCATATCATAATAGAAGATTTAAATGGACTTGTTCATTATCAATATCGATCATATCAAAATAGAAGATTTAAATGGTATTGTTCATTATCAATATTGGCCATATCAAAATAGAAGATTTAAATGGACTTGTTCATTATTTATGTTTGGGCATATCAAAATAGAAGATTTAAATGGACTTGTTAATTATCAATATTAGCCATATCAAAATAGAAGATTTAAATGGACATTATCAATCTTGGCCATATCAAAATAGAAGATTTAAATGGAACTTGTACATTATCAATATTGGCCATATCAAAATAGAAGATTTAAATGGACTTGTTCATTTTCAATATTGGACATATCAAAATAGAAGATTTAAATGGACTTGTTCATTATCAATATTGGACATATCAAAATAGAAGCTTTAAATGGACTTGTTCATTATCAATATTGGCCATATCAAAATAGAAAATTTAAATCGACATGATCAATATTGACCATATCAAAATAGAAGATTTAAATGGACTTGTTAATTATCAATATTAGCCATATCAAAATAGAAGATTAAAATGGACTTGTTCATGATCAATATTGGCCATATCAAAATAGAAGATTTAAATGGACTTGATCATTATCAATATTGGGCATATCAAAATAGAAGATTTAAATGGACTTGCTCATTATCAATATTGGGCATATCAAAATAGAAGATTTAAATGGACATTATCAATATTAGTCATATCAAAATAGAAGATTTAAATGGACTTGTTCATTATCAATATTGGGCATATCAAAATAGAAGATTAAAATAGACTTGTTCATTATCAATATTGGGCATATCAAAATAGAAGATTTAAATGGACATTATCAATATTAGTCATATCAAAATAGAAGATTTAAATGGACTTGTTCATTATCAATATTGGGCATATCAAAATAGAAGATTTAAATGGACATTATCAATATTGGCCATATCAAAATAGAAGATTTAAATGGACTTGATCATTATCAATATTGGCCATATCAAAATAGAAGATTTAAATAGACTTGTTCATTATCAATATTGGGCATATCAAAATAGAAGATTTAAATGGACATTATCAATATTAGTCATATCAAAATAGAAGATTTAAATGGACAGTATCAATATTGGCCATTTATTATATGATCTAAATATAGCTGCAATCTCATTGGTCCAAACAGTAGTCAACAGAACTTTTTATAAAATCATATTTACTGGGTGTAGTATCATATTCACTGGCTGAATTGGATTTTCCCAGTCTAAAAATAGATTGAGACTCATATTCGCAGATCATACACCGTAGACTGTTAATTACGCGTGTTAATTAAAAATAAATTGTTGCTTTTTGTTCTTTATGGCATATTTCTCGATTAAAATATCAATACTTTACTATTATACTTAAAGGTTACACCGCAATAATGAGTATAAACTTGAATTATTTCTGTATGCGCAGCATTCGCGTAGTCGTTGCACGCCTTACACGTGCGTCTTGTTAACCGCGCTTCAACGAGGCAAAATTTGTACATGTATAATTATAAGGTTGTACTTTTGTGATTTTTTTTTTAATTTCTTAGCCTTTTCATATAATAAAACAATTATTGACTAGTGAACCATTGAATATGATGTGATATTCACCGGCAGAAAGTCATATTGACCTCGGCTATCGCCTCGGTCAATATGTCATCTGCCGGTGAATATCACATCATATTCAATGGCTCACTAGTCAATAATTGTATAATATAAATAGAAGATTTAAATGGAACTTGTACATTATCAATATTGGCCATATCAAAATAGAAGATTTAAATGGTCTTGTTCATTATCAATATTGGCCATATCAAAATAGAAGATTTAAATGGACTTGTTAATTATCAATATTAGCCATATCAAAATAGAAGATTTAAATGGACTTGTTCATTATCAATATTGGGCATATCAAAATAGAAGATTTAAATGGACTTGTTCATTATCAATATTGGCCATATCAAAATAGAAGATTTAAATGGTATTGTTCATTATTAATATTTAGGCATATCAAAATAGAAGATTTAAATGGTATTGTTCATAATCAATACCGACCATATCAAAATAGAAAATTTACATGGACTTGTTCATTATCAATATTGGGCATAACAGAATAGAAGATTTGAATGGACTTGTTCATTATCAATATTGGCCATATCAAACTAAAAGATTTAAATGGACATTATTAATATTAGTCATATCAAAATAGAAGATTTAAATGGACTTGTTCATTATTTATGTTTGGGCATATCAAAATAGAAGATTTAAATGGACTTGTTAATTATCAATATTAGCCATATCAAAATAGAAGATTTAAATGGACATTATCAATATTGGTCATATCAAAATAGAAGATTTAAATGGACTTGTTAATTATCAATATTAGCCATATCAAAATAGAAGATTTAAATGGACATTATCAATATTGGCCATACCATAATAGAAGATTTAAATGGACTTGTTCATTATCAATATTGGGCATATCAGAATAGAAGATTTAAATGGTATTGTTCATTATCAATATTGGCCATATCAAAATAGAAGATTTAAATGGACTTGTTCATTATCAATATTGGCCATATCAAAATAGAAGATTTAAATGTACATTATCAATATTGGCCATATCAAAATAGAAGATTTAAATGGACTTGTTCATTATCAATATTGGCCATATCAAAATAGAAGATTTAAATGGACATTATCAATATTGGCCATATCATAATAGAAGATTTAAATGGACTTGTTCATTATCAATATTGGGCATATCAAAATAGAAGATTTAAATGGTATTGTTCATTGTTAATATTTGGGCATATCAAAATAGAAGATTTAAATGGACTTGTTAATTATCAATATTGGCCATATCAAAATAGAAGATTTAAATGGACATTATCAATATTGGCCATATCAAAATAGAAGATTTAAATGGACTTGTTCATTATCAATATTGGCCATATCAAAATAGAAGATTTAAATGGACTTGTTCATTATTTATGTTTGGGCATATCAAAATAGAAGATTTAAATGGACTTGTTAATTATCAATATTAGCCATATCAAAATAGAAGATTTAAATGGACATTATCAATCTTGGCCATATCAAAATAGAAGATTTAAATGGAACTTGTACATTATCAATATTGGCCATATCAAAATAGAAGATTTAAATGGACTTGTTCATTATCAATATTGGCCATATCAAAATAGAAGATTTAAATGGACTTGTTCATTATCAATATTGGCCATATCAAAATAGAAGATTTAAATGGACTTGTTCATTATCAATATTGGCCATATCAAAATAGAAGATTTAAATGGACTTGTTCATTATCAATATTGGGCATATCAAAATAGAAGATTTAAATGGTATTGTTCATTGTTAATATTTGGGCATATCAAAATAGAAGATTTAAATGGACATTATCAATATTGGGCCTATCAAAATAAAGGAGCTTTATCAGACTGCACATATGCACTTTTTTGGGGTGGGATGGGGGTGGGGGGGGGGTTTACGTCACACAGACACAGTATAGGTCATTTGGCGACGTTCCAGCTTCACTGGTGGAGGAAGACCTCAGGTGCCCTTCCGTGCATTATTTCAGGCACAAACAGGCACCTGAATAGAACCATCGACGTTCCGTAAGCTAGATGGATAGCTTCCTCACATGAAAGAATCCAAAGTCCCTGTCAAGATTCGAACCCACAACGGGGAAGGGCAAGTGGTTTGAAGTCAACAGCCTTAACCAAGCGGCCACGGACGCCCCACCTATGCACTTGTTACCCTTGTTCTGTACTGGTGGAAAACCCTAATCAGTTGTGTTTCCAACAGTGTAACTACTTGTTTAATTATTTTCTTGAATAAACAAAAGCTAACAATTCCGTATAAAAACTTTTTAATGATTTCCATTTTAAACATTTAAAAATATACAACACAAAATATACAAGAAACATGGCAATGCCATGAAACCAGGTTTTCAATTATCACCATTGTAGATTAATATGTTGTATTTGAAATACAAATACAAGCAACAAACAATGTAGCTATGTGCAATGTAAAACATGAATAATGTAGGAGGAATTGTCTCAGAAAAAGTGTTCACTATATATTCTGTATAAGAAAAAAAACAACAAAGGGCCATAATTAGATAAGAAAATTTCCAATCACAAAACCCCGACAATATGCGCCAGGGCACTGGATGACAAAGCTTCTGTGAAAGTTTGAATAAAATCCGTTGAGAAATGTAGGAGATCAGCACAGAAGAATTTTTTCACTATATATTCTGTATAAGGAAAAAAAACAAAGGGCCATAATTAGGTCAAATATTATCCAATCACAAAACCTCGATAATGTGCGCCAGGGCACTTGATAACAAAGCTTCTGTGAAAGTTTGGTCAAAATCAGTTGAGAAATGTAGGAGAAGTTGCGCATGGTAAAAATTGTTTACTATATATTCTATATAAAGAAAAAAAACAAAGGGCCATAATTAGGTCAAATAATTTTGTCAAAATCCGTTGAGAAATGTAGGAGGAGTTGCGCACAGAAGAAATTGATTCCCATCCGCCCGCACGCCGACATACCTCAATCTAATAACAAGTTTTTTCCTTCGGAAAACCTGGTTAAAAATATATGTATGCTAGACAATTAAGTATTCTTTTTAGTAAACAATACCATTACATACACAATAAAGTATATTAACAAAATAGTACCCTCTTACTAGCTTGATTTAGTTGTATTTGTTCATTTAACAATGTTTTTACTGCAGAATATCTACATACAAACACTCTACTCAAAATAAGTATATTCTTTTTCTGCTAAGAGTACAATCACTGGCAATAATTGCCACTTTTAAAATTAACTGCAGTTTGGAGCAGCCTTAAATATTTTTTATTTAAAAATAAATCGTTTCATAAAATTGTCAAATCAAAGGAATTAAGGTATAAAATGAAACTTGTTTTCGATTAAATAAATAAACAATAAGGAAACCCCTCCACACTGCTAATCTACTAGTCCGCTCTCTATAATATGAAAATGAGTAAAGCAAACAATTTGTTTCCCAATCTTCTGTGTTTAGAAACAAACATCTCTGCGCACTTTAGATAGCTCAGGATGCTGTTCTCTTCAGTTTCCTTCTAAATTCATTATAAACCATTTCCATTTCTTCCATTTATATGACTACATGTATGATTATTTATGAGAAATGATTAAACTTGAATTATTATCACAGTACTTTTCAAAATAAAAGAGACAAAAACAAGAAGCATTACAAAAATAAAATATAATAAATATACATGTAATTAGCAGATATAAGAATGGACGGTTCTTCAATGAATGGCTAGCAATCAATAAAGGAAAAGTGCCCTAATGACGCTTGCTTAATGCTTGTATTTAAAAATTTCAAACAATAAAAAAGTTTTTAATATATTGCTTGTATGTGTATTTACAATTCTTTCTTTTGTATACTAAATGCAAAATTATAAAGATGTTTTAAAATTATTTAGATTTATGATGTTTGCAACTGTTAGAATGCACAAACCATGTTAACATTTTTGTGATCCTGAACTAAAGTTTCAATCTAGCAGTAATCAAATTTTATCTATATAATTATCCAGTTTGACACTGGTCTTCAAAGTAAAGATGAAGGATGTTTTAATGTAAAACAAATACTACTGTTACAAGGTTTTAACAACATTAAGACAATAATATAAGGTAATTACATAGAGAATATCAAATGTGTGTGGGTTCAATACTTAATTTATTGAACAAGGTGAATAAAACAATATTATGCTCGCCAGAGCAAGTTTAATAAAGTCAGCGAGCATAATATTGTTTTATTCAACAAGATCAATAACTTTAATATTGAATCTACACAAAAATAATATTCTATTTATCACATACCCAAAATCAGAACTGTTTACAGTGAAAAGAATCACTTTTACATTGATGTGCATATACTGTAACACCAACATTTAGCATGTTTTTATGCTAAGTTTGTATAACACAAATGATGGTCCGTCAAAATATATGCACAGCTGTGCAATACCGTTATAACAGAGTCAAAAGCGGCATAGGTGTGTGATAAAACAAAGTATAATGCACCAATCAATTACAAAAATACATTACTATATCATTAAAAATTTTACATCATTTCCATTGTAAACATTTGGCAGGAATATAAACAAATTTAACAACAAATGTATTCAAATTATGGTAACGATTGTAATCTAGTGAGCCATAAAATAAATCACAAAATATGAGTATTCTTTTAAAAATAAAAACGGGCAAGAACAAAATGTGTTTATTATTTAACACAAATGTCCGCTTCCCAAATCTGTCACAAAATTATTGTGAAATTTATTTGACTTTGAAGGTCATAGTCATCTCTGGGTCAAGGTTGTATTTCAAGACATGTGTTTTATCCAAGTTTGGATAAAGGTTTTTGCTAAGGTTTATATGTGATATGTTATGGCAAAGGTTAAAGATATCAATAATACTTATTAATCATTTCATAATACAAAATTCCATTAATTTCCGTTTGATTGTTATGCTAGAGACCATAGAAATAAATCAAGCTAAACATGTACAAACTATCTAAAATGAGTTTGTCTGAGGCTGAAAATTTGATTTAGTTTAAACTACATGTATATGAAAGAGTTACACTTGATGTCTCACTATTCTAACCAAAGGAAAATTAACAAACGTGTTATTATCAATAAATTATTCTTCATATAAAAACTTAAAAAAGAACTGTACATGAACATCTTAAAATTCTACAACTTTAAAGGAACTCGACCGAGGTAAAAAAGCATAAAACATAAAATTGAACATTCTTACATAAATCAAATATATGACTTAAAACTAATGGAAAATTCTGCAAAGGATGATAAATAAATATGCTCAGAATTAAACATTGAAAATTAATTTTTGTGCGATTCTTGGCTTGATTTGAGTGAAAACTATAGCAGTTTATAAGCTTTTCATTTGTTTTTTGCATAGTATTTTATTATTTTTGATGATTCTGAAAAAGTAACTGGGAGAGGGAATGATCTGAACATTTGTATATAAGTCATTAATCAAATGGTACAAAAATATTGGAAAAATATTTCCAGTCCCATCAAGTCAAAAAAACCTCAGTGGAGTCCCTTTTAGCTCTAGCAAAACCACAGCACACAGAAATCTTATATCTCAACAATGTCTCGCTGATTGTTAACTTTGATTATCACAAGTAAACATGCTGGACGGATATTGCACATCACCTTCCCTTTGCATTCTGGGGAAATATTCTATATTTAGAAACTGATGCAATGCTCAACCAAGTTCAAGGTCATCTATGTTTAAATGACAGATTTCAGCACTATCTTCACCAATGGACCTTCTCAATGCAAATTGTGGGCTGAAAAAAAATTTAAAAAAAAGAAAAACAATTAAAAGCCTTTTAAAATCCTAATCCTAATAATTAAAGCATAAAAAATAAATAACTTTGCACAAAATCAGTCATGTCAATAATTATTCAAAAGTGTCTAAATTAAATGAAAACCTTACTACACAGTAGATGGAAACATGTATCATAACCTTTTTCAACTTCAGAAGTAATGTAAGGCTGAAAATTACAACAAATAAATAAGCCGCGTCACGACAAAACCAACATAGTGCGTTTGCGACCAGCATGGATCCAGACCAGCCTGCGCATCCGCGCAGTCTGATCAGGATCCATGCTGTTCGCTAACAGTTTTTCTACTTGTTATAGGGTTTGTAAGCAAACAGCATGGATCCTGATCAGACTGTGCGGATGCGCAGGCTGGTCTGGATCCATGCTGGTCGCAAACCCATTATGTTGGTTTTGTCGTGACGCAGCTCAAATGATTTACAACTTTTGAGGTCCTTGACCAAAATTATTCAAATGAAAACTAAGTGAATTAAAATTTCACTTATAAGCTGTAAAAATATAAAACCAAAATAACCGTAAAAAAAATCTAAACCATTTTAACATGGAAATCATCAAGACAAGTTTATTGACCTATCCATATTGTTTATAACAGTCTAAAATAATGAACTGGCAAGATAATAAATGCATTCTTAACATATTCCCTTGTTCCAAATTTCTCACAGTGATTACTTCCCTTGGAAGATTGTACTTTGTACTGATAAGGAGAGATCACTGTATAGAAGATTGGCCCTTGTGCGTGTCTATCATTCTAAAAGTCTTATTCCCCTAAATTCACTCTACATATCAAAATTTTGATCAAAGACTTTGTATTTCCTTGCAAATGAAGAAAGTTTTCAAAATTTTGTCTCATCTTAAATTGAGCAAATAAGTTTTGCCTTCCATAAAAGTTTATAAAAAATTCCATAAATGTCCATTCAAGAATATTGAAAGAAAATTTCCTATTCGTCTAACATTCATCTAAAAGTAAAGTTTGTCCTCTACACCATTAAGCAAATATAAACATAGTTAAAGCCTTTGTTTATAATTTAAAGGCACATTACGCCTAAGAAACGAATAAATTTGTCCTTTTTTACAAGGGCAAACATGAATTTAAATGGTTTTAGAATAAGTTCCATGCTCATAACCAAAAGAAAGTCACCCTGCTGTGAAATAATTTGTCATAAAAGTATCAAAGTGTAAACAAAGTAGTATTTTGACTTCCATACAAAATACTAAATCACTAAATCTAAACTTATTCCAAGAAAGTAACAGATGCAAAATATGTTTCAGGTGATTGGCCGTTTGGACCCTCCCCGCTTTTTTAGGAATAAAAATAAAACCATTTCTGGGGCATAATGGGCCTTTAAGTGTTCAGCATATCAGCATACCTTAGTAGGAAGCACATTTTAGCATGAACTTTGAAACAATTACCTTAATGTAAAATTTACCACACCTTTTCCAAAATTCGTATTTCACACAATATCTAAGTCACACAGAACCTAAGTCATAGAAAAACTGTTTATACTAAATTCTACTTCATAGTATTGAATCCCCTTACAAAACAACTATAGACCAAGAGAAAGTTAAAAGTGAAGTTTCCAACTGCAGACCATTATGCCAATTACTTACTATAAATCTTATCTCCTTAATAATCCTTAGTCTACATGCAGCAACTAAATCAACCAATGCAAACAGTGCAGACAAAAAACAGCTGACCAATCCTTTCTGTCCTGTCATGGTCTGCCCTTCTCCTTAGTCAGTGCACATTTTAAGAACATTCCCTTAATAATATGAATGGTTTTGTCTAAATTGAAAGATGGGAAAGTCATTTAAGATTCCCTCGCAGGTTAAGAATAAATGGACAAAACCAAGTGAAAAATCAAACAAAAAAGTGCAATTATTTTATTTTGTGCAGGCCCCAGTCTCAGAATATTCAATATTGTGATGAAATACCCACCTAAAATTTATGAATTCTGTAATTCAAATTAAATAATTATTAAAAGAAAACAGACAAGTTAATTTTACAAGGATTTCTAAACACCATACTTACAACATGCTACTGACACATAATTATGTTATGCCTTCAACCACTTGAAAAGATATGATAATATTATATATTAAGGATAAATGATAGAAATATAAAATTCATTATCATTAATATTTAAACCACATCCCACCTAAATGATTGATATTTGGTTGTTCTGAAATAAAGTATGGAATCTTATTTACATGTATATGAATTAATGGTCAATCATTAAGTAATATCATCATAGCTGGGTATAATCCAAGGTGTCTTTTTCACAATTGATAAAGTCCTTTTATTTGAATGCAATTGTGACATATTCAGTACACATCCTCCATACAAATACTGATCTTAAATCTTTATATGCCAGAACTGGTATCGACTTGTGTGTACAAACAGTATAAAGCTGGCCAATAAGAACATACATGAAGACTGGCAATACTCGTACTGCCGGCTACTAAGTCTTGGATGTTTTACATAAAAATCGCATATATTAACAATTTTTTGAGTACGGATACACATAGTCATGAGGGCTGTACTATTTTATAAAATTAAAATGTTTCATTATCAATCAAACCATTACACATATAAAGCTAATGTATAAGATCATACCTAAGATCCTCTTCTGTAAGTGTACCATCACTGACTAGACGCTCCACTTCCTTCAACCCTCTTCCTCCCAATGCTTCCTTACATTGTCTACAAAACACAAACATGGCCATCAACACCTACCATTATAAGTACTTTTTGTCCTGCATATGCTTAACATTGTCAGTTTGCAAGGCTCAAATTCAACACTCCCAAATTTCCAACGAAAATTACTTGTAGATTTCTTGTAAAATCAAAAAATTTTGCAAGTGCGGAGATGGGATAAGGTTTAATTATAATTATTCGGTTAAGTTTTTGTTGAAGCTTGAAGTAATTGTTGTTTTCCTTTGATTAAACATTTAAGCATAATTTCATGAGAGAAATAAACATCAATAAACGATTTTAATACATGTTTAGTAGTCAAAAGCTTTGACTAGATTTTGTGAGTTATAATGACTGTTCTTTACCACGAAATCGAAATTTACCACGAAGCTAATTTTTTCTTTAAACTGACATTCCTCCATCTCATAAATGACAGTTTCAAATTTCAAATGGGACAAGTTCATAATGCAAATACATAAGGGTAAGACATACTGTCTGAGCATGGCAGTTTGTTGTCTGTGTAGGTCAGAAATACTATCTGCAAACCAGTCGTCTACCGCCTCAATATCCTGGGCCTCCTTTGCTAGATGTACCATGGCATCTAAATCCTGAACACATATAAAAAACAAAAACAAAATGTGTAAGCTTATACTAGTTAAACAAAAAGAAAGGTGAAAATCATTAACTTTTACTAAAACCAATAAACCATCCAAAATAACAGGTCGGGAACTAAAAGTAACCAGTCAGATTACTCATTTCAAGTAGAAACAATATACAGTTATTCATTGATATAAACTTCAGACAGTTGTGGATGACATTTTAGATACATTTTTGTCAACTATACTGTTACTGAGAATCATAATGCCACCACCCAGAATACCAACTTGCTAACCTAAGATTTCTATGCCTTTCTCAGATTCCCATAGTTCTACCTAAAATACAATGAGGAGATATATTCATATAGCATACCTCACTGGAGTCATATTCTTCAAAATCATCAGCATACTCTGCCTCATCATTATTTTCTGTGATATCTTCTATTTCATCTTCAGAGTCATCACTCTCTACACATTCTATCTCTTCTTTTATGTCTGAAAACATAACATAAACACAATTAAATTAATCTTAGCATTTATATCACTATGAAATGAAAATCTGGAAAAGGGGTGATCCCTCGGAAGCATTATAAGAAAATTGCAGACTGGGTTTGATTGAGTTTGTGCTTGAGAGATAGTGCAGCATCTCTCAGACCCCCTAGCCTCCAGCTTAAGCAGTATTCAATTTTCAACACTAACATGCTGAAATCAACAGGAAACTTTGCAAACCATTCTGAAATCAATTATGTATGTAATTGGATCCAAAAATGATGTTGCCATTGGTATGTCAGTTAAATCATACTTACTTACCAGTTTAGTAACTTGTGAGATCCTTCCTAAGCAAGTACCAATCAAGTTAAATTTAAGTTGCAACTCAACATATCTCTTAAAATAACTCTATTTTACTGACCTGACATTTGTTGGAGAAGATTAGCCATCTTCAATAAAAGCAATAAAGTACATTGACCAAGTTAGAGAATAAAAACTTTTACACAAATACTAATATCAAGGAATAAAAAGTAACCTTCTTCAATATCAGAATCTGCTTCATCAGCATCATCAAAGTCGTCTGAATAGTCCGAGGCAGCATCTGTATCTGGTTTAGGAATGTCTAATCTGTTTTCTCTAATTATATCTGTAAATGTAACATTACCTCTTCAAATAAGTATATAACTAACATCACTCTCTAATATGGCTCCCACGTTTACAATATTTTGTAAACGTTTACATGATTGTTAAGAACCAAAACAATACCATTTAAACGGTGGCACTTCTATGTACTATACTACACCATGTATTTGAGTCGCCAGATGATGACTTACTTATTATTCTTAATAAATGTACAAATAAAGAAATATATAATGTTCAGGGCTCATCACAATTGTGTCGGCACACATTTTCTGCATTGTATCCCCATTTCCCCCTTTTGAAAGATCTAAGGAAAATCAACTGTACAAAAAATGTATCATGTCACAAGGGATTATTGCATGGCAATGCTGTGTGGAAGGTTGTAAACAGCCATTTTCCATTTTTGACTTTGGAATAAACCAATTAAAATTGATAAAATCCATGATTACAGGCAATGATCAACATATTTTGTAAGACAATATGGTCATTTCGATAAAAATGTAAAAAATATTGTAAACGTTTATGAATGAAAATTGAAACGAATCTGTTTAAACATGTGTAAATGTGGGGGCCTTACTCTCTAAGTATATCTGTAATTTTGACATTACCTATTAGTTTAAACATATTTTATTCATCAATTTTTACAAGCATGTAACATTTTTACATCGCAATATATATGGATTGGAAAACAAGCATAACACTTATATTAATTCCTTTCCATGATGGAGTTTCGTCTTTGTTATTTCACTTTATATGATCAGTGCATGTTTTTAAGTTCAAAATTGATCTAAATTTATAATTTTTCGGAAGGTTTTACTTGATTTTTTGTTTATTCATTTTCCCTTTTAATAAAAAAAAAAAAGAGAGAAGAAAATAAAAATAATAATAAAAATAAAAAAAAAAGTTGTGTCACACAGTTTGTCATGGAAATACGATGTTTAAAACGCTGAGTCGGGAATTATGAATCGAAACGCTTTGATGCTTCAATGAAGCTCTGGACAAGTGTGAACAGATTCTGATTTATGTCCATACTTAGGTGATCATTGCCGAAAAGAAGATTATTAAGGGTTGGGGCACAGGGTAGGTCGTCAAAGAATTGCTGACGTATGATATGGGTACTTAGGACAACTGAGCAGAAAGTGGGAAACAGTTTTCTATGGCACCACATGTACACAAAGGAGACGAGATTAAGTTTCTCCTATGTAATTCGAAATTAAGAGAGCTGCATCCAAGTCTGAGACGTGTATGGTTTACTTGGTTTTTCCTGCTGCCAAAATTATACAGGTGTTTTTTGTTATTAGACGACATATTTCTGTAGTTGAGTTTGTGTTTGAAAGCACTTACTGTGGATGCATTTCTAATATTTCCAGGTAAAGAATTCCACTGGCGAATAGTATACGGAAGAAAAGAAGTAGCATATGATTGGGAGTTGCAGTGTATTAATGGGATATCGGTGTTAGAGCAAAGAGTGTAGGGTTGATTAAAATGTTCTGGTATCAGACCAGAGAGATAATCAGGAGCGAGACCATTTTTCATTTTATACATAAGTACGAGACGATGTTTTTTCTCCTTTCTGCGAGTGTATCCCAACTGAGGTCGCTAATTAATTTGTTGATGTTGCAAAACTTAGTAGCTCCTGTGACGATTCTTGCTGCTTCATGCTGAACTGATTCAATATCATTTTTTAGTTCATTTACTACAGTTATCCCACATCACGTCGGCATACTCAAGCAAAGGTCTAATAAAGGCTACATATAATTTCTCCAATCCCGCTCTAGAAATAAGAAATTTCAGACTTCGAAGAATACCAATTCTCTGCCAAGCTTTATTAACATTTGATGTTATATGTGATGTCCATTTACCATTTTCAGAAAAGATGACACCAAGGTGCTTGTGTTCTTTAACACTAGAAATGTTCACATTATCAAAGACTAGACAAGGGTGTTGGGGTTTGTTTCGTTTTCTTGAGAAAAGGACATGTTCTGTTTTTGAGGGATTAAATGAGACAAGCCAAGTTTTAGACCACACAGAAATTTTTGAAAGATCGCAATTCAAATTTGCAGCAGAAGAGTTGGGATCTTCGACAATGATGTAGAGACTAGTGTCGTAGTCAAAAAGTCGAATGTTTGCTTCAATATCAGTGACTATGTCATTAATGTATATTAGAAACAGGAGAGGGCCTAAGATGGACCCCTGAGGTACTCCAGCATTGATATTTAAAAGTGTTGAAGAAGTATTTGATACGATGACTCTTTGTTTTCTGTCAGCAAGATAAGATGAGAACCACTGAAGAAGAGAACCTTGTATGCCTAAAGAAGAAAGTTTATAGAGGAGTCCTTGGTGGCAAACCCTGTCGAAAGCTTTTGATATATCACAAAATACTGCGCGAACTTCTTTTCCTTCATCTAGGGCTTTGCTGATGTCATTGTAAAGAAAGGTTAGCTGATTTATGGTTGAATCCCCTTTAATGAATCCTGATTGAAATGGTGTTAATAGTTTATTTGAAATGACATGGTTATACAAGTATTTATGGATGCATCTTTCCATAACTTTTCCGAGACAGCTTAAAAGAGATATAGGTCTGTAGTTACATGTTTTAGAAGGATCGGACTTTTTATAAATAGGACAAACATTGGCAAGTTTCCAGGAGGAGGGAAATACAGATTTTAAAAGAAGTTTGTTGAAAAACCTTGCAAGTGGTGAAGCTAGTTCATCCTTACCTTCCTTAATGAGCCTTGGGCTAATTAAGTCTGGACCAGATGCTTTAGCTGAGTCCATAGAGTTGATAGAGTCCTAAACGTCTTGAGTAGTGACTGTTACACCAGAAATGAGGACGTTTGTTATGATTTCAAGAGGTGGAAGGGGATGGTGTGGGTTTTCGATGGTTGATTGTTTGCTAAAATAGGTGTTTAGAAGGTCAGCTTTCTCTTTGTTTGATTCCGCTATTGCTGAGCCATCTGTAAGTGTTGGTATTGTTGATGTATTTTGTTTATTTGTTAATTTTTTTGCAAGTTTAAACCATGTTTTTGCTGTGATGTTGTCTGAATTAATCTGTGTAGTTAAGTTATTTTGATAATCTGATTTAGTTTTTTTTATAAGTTTTGTGGTTTCATTCCTAATTTTTCGAAAGTTAGCCCAGGCATTTTCATTATTAAGTAATTTAGCTCTTTGATGAAGTTTCCTACGTTTTCTTATTTGTTTTTTTGACATCATTATTTATCCAAGGTACGTCATTTGGCCGGATAGTTACTATTCTGTTTGGGATGCTTTCAGATGCTGCGTTAAGAATGTTTTGGGCGATACAATCTGCAATATTATCTGGGTTTTGATCGTTGTCAATGAATGACCAGTCAATTGAACTAAGTTTTTCGTTATATTTTTGATACTCACCTTTATCGTAGATCCAAATTTTACGACGAAAACAGTCCTTTTTATGTTTGGGGTCCACCTGGGCTCCTTGCCATTGGTTCTTGTTGCTGGGTCATATGGGGGTTGCGTTCATTGAACGCCGCCTTTCCTTGTTGATCTTGTTTTTCATATTTGTTGTGGTTTGGTAAAATTAAGTACTGACACTATTGGACAGTGAAACCTAACTAGGTCAGAGAGAAATGGGTCAGCAACAAAAGACGTGAGAACATGATGAGATTTTTTAATGAACATAAGATCAATAAGTGAATTAGAACTTTCTGTGTAATGCGTAGGAGAGTTTATTAGTTGTTCGCAATTTAAAGAATGTATAAGTCTTGTCATTTTGTTTGAAGGGTTGGCAAGTACGTTAATATTAAAGTCACCAGCTACTAAGATATTATCAACGTGTTGATTAAGTGCCTGACCAAGCAAGTATTCCATTTTTAACCATTGTGTATTATTTGAATTCGGAGGTCGATATATACCCCCAACAATTAATTTACGTTGACATATATGTATTTCAGTCCAGAGTGCTTCTACACCTTGCACTTGCAGATCTTTCCTTTCAATAGCGTGTAAAGAATCACGGACATAAATAGCTACACCACCGCCTATACGATCGATTCTGTCACAACGGAAGGGTTTACTAAAGTTAGGAATGTAAAGGTCTGTGTCTGTAACATTGTTAGACAGCCACGTTTCTGTGAAAATAAGGATGTCATAAGGTTGGGCCTCTACAGCTAAAATATCAATCTCTGGCTTCAGGCTTTGGATATTCAAATGCATGATGCTCAGACCTCGGTTAAGGAGAGAAGCATAAGATTCAATAGATGAATTTGAAGAGTTGAGTGTGTCAGCGATTACAGGAGGACCAGGATTAAGCTCTATATCGCCGGATTTGTTAATAAGAATCATAACTAAATATAAAGCTGTAATTAAAATGCAAGGGTTAATCGATATGGAAATGTCCAGAGGTATTAAGAAACGGCAACGGTATATGTAATAAGAGAGTGTCATTTTCGTTTCAATAAATAGGTAAGGGAGACAATTGGTTGCATTGTACAAAAAGCGTTCGATATCATGTCCGGAACATCAGCAATGAATCTCATTTCCATAGACAGACAAATGTGTGACAAAAAAGAAAAGAAAACAATTAGAATGGTAATCATTACTAATCAACATTGTAAATGATGATGGGAAATTAAGTAGAACATTGTGCGATAAGAACATTTTTGTTATATTTTACTGACAATATACGGTTGCTATGGAATTATTTACATAAGTTATGTGTATGAATACCAGTTCATGTGTTTGTTATCTATATATGGATGTTGAAGGACTTGATAACGATTATCTCTATCATGCAAAAAAAAAAAAAAAAAGTACAACAAAATAATATCAACCATTAGAAGTTTCTACAGATGTCAAATACGACCTTGAGATAATTAAAGTGTACACTGGGTAACAAAAAATTAATATGCTCACCATAATAAAATATGAAGTATACCACAGACGGTACATTCTAAATAGAAATATTTCAAGTCGTAAATTTTAATTGCTTGTGTAAAAAAAAATGTAACTTCAATGTGTAATACTTTT